CATCCATCCATCATCCATCCATCCATCATCCATCCATCCCTGCACGTATTCCTTCATTGTGGGTCTGCTCTATTCCTAGCCCTAGGTTAAGCCCTCAGTCACTGTAATCACACCTCTATTAAATATGCATCAGCAAATCTTCTCTAACTACCTGTGGGGAAAATGGTGCTTTCTGTGGAGAAGGAGCCTTTCAGAGGAAGTCCTGTTCACAGTAAATGCACTGTTAGTAGGGTGCTTGTTTGCTGTCATTGTGTTGTTTTGGGGAAGATCAACAGAGCTTTGTCCCAAGTCCCGAGTGTGCCCTGCATGTCACCACCCTCTTCTAAATGGCAGGTGACCAAAGGCCGGATCTGGGGGGAGAACAGAAGAGAGGGGTCGCTACTCTTGGCTTCAGAGCCTGAGAAAAAATGAGGTGCCAGGTCAACTCACAGTTTACGCTGATTTGCGTGTTTCTCAGGAGGCTCCCATGTATTAGAGAACGTTCTCATGTCATCAGCCTATGAACTCTTAGCAAATTTGCAGGAAACATTCATACATGTGGGAAGCACAGGACCTTGGAATAGGGACAACTCCTGGCTCCCCTCTAACCTGGGTGGAGGGGCTCAGACTTTCGCACTGAAAGAGGATGGATCCCAGGAGCCGTCCTCACCTCTGACCCCACCAGCAGGCTGGGAGGACGACTGGACCATGAATACAACGGGGGCTGGGGAGTGAATGCAACGCACACGCCTCTTCCAGCTCCAAAGCTGCGGAAAAGCCAGTGGGGTCCGGAGAAGGAGAAGAGGCAGCAGCTTGTGCTCAGACAGAGAGATGGACTCGGGAGCGACCAGGGCAGAGATGCTCTGGCTTTGGACATGAGGGGAGGTGGGGAGGCCGCGCCAGGTCCCCATGTGCACTGCTGCTCCCACACAGAAGCCCCATTTCACGACGGCCACATCCACAAACACGGAGGGAAGCACAGACGCCTCCTGCCCCGGCACCAGCAGCTTGGCGCCACGTTCTAGTCTCAACAAGCTTCTGAGGGGAGGGAAACCAGCCTTGACCGAGGCTGAGGCACGGGACAACGGGTTCTCAGGTTTGCACCCAGGGCCCGAGGGGATTCTGGTTTCTGCTGTCATAAAAATCAGGAAGAAGGGGCTTCCCGGCCAAGTTAAAAATGAGATTTCAAGTTACAGCAGCTCACTTATTCCTAAATATTTTGTCAGGTATTCTCAGATATTTTTTGCACATGTGTGTCCTCTCTCTCTCTCTCTCTCTCTCTCTCTCTCTCTCTCTCTCTCTCTCTCTC